TGAGTATTTTTCGATTTCTATATTCCATACATTACTTGGGAATATTTGGTGAAGTCGGAGCATGTTGTCTATTTATACTGAACCAAATTAAAAACTTCACAATCCTAAAATTTTAACATTTTGACCAGTTATCATTGTGAGCCCTTATTGTGTATTTAAACAGTAATGGCCACGTATTGTCTTCAGATAACACCCGTTTTTGTGCAGGTGAATCGATCAAAATCATGTGCACAGCACTATAGTGGCAAAAGTGGTTTTTCACGTGCAACTGGTCACGTGGCCATAATACCGCACGTGTTTTCAGCAATACTTGTTAGCAGTCATTAACAAAAAAAGAAAAACACAAGAAAAAGAAAGTCTTTACGGTCATTTGTCATGCCACGCCTTTCAAATGTGCAACGTGAACGTGCCATCGGCATGTTGCAGGCGGGAACGTCCGTAGCTGAAGTCGCAAGGACGATGGGTTGTAGTCGACGGACTGTTTATGATTTACAGACGCGTCTACAGCAAACGGGTACCACCGCTGATCGCCCTCGGCCAGGTCGACCACGTGTGACGTCACATGCAGATTGTCAGATTGTGTTACGTCACCTCCTTAACCCCCTGGATGCCAGAGGGACATATATGTCCTTCCTCTACAACCCTCACTTTGAAGTCGAATAAAATTAAACATACATCATGCACACTAATACACATCACAGTTTTGAATAAGGTGGGAGATTCCCTGTTCTGTGATATTATTCATTGGCTTTTTAGGCCAAGCAAAAGTACAAAAAATGACCTCTGAAAATTAGGTACTTCGTAAATGTCGCCATGTTTTACACATTACTAAATCACCACTCGCCGCGTTATTTACTGCATGTTCTGGAATCTAAATTTCGGATATTTACGTCGAGAAATGAATTTCAAAAATAGCATATTAGTGATCACGGGTATCTGTCCTTTATGAAATCACCAATGATCATTCAAAAACGTCTCCGATAACCCTAGAATCGTTTAGAATGTTTTGGAAAATACGCAAACACGAACGCCGAAGTGACCTTTCCGCCATATTGGATAGTGTTTACAAAATCACGTTTCAGGTACACCGGTTATGAGGCGCCTGTAACATCCCGTATATTCCAAACTTTGATGCGATACACACATCCTTGAATTCCTCATACATTTTAGAATCGAATGAACAATGGTCTTTGTCACCAGTACGAAGTGGCTGGATGAAATCAAGCAATATAAGTCAGGTGTGAAAACGAACGCTGTGCTCGAAACACTGCACTTTTTTGAAGTGTAAACAAAGCAAAATACAGATTTTACACACTGTAGCATTTTCTCCTATTTTGAGCTTTCCATTCGTCTATTCGTTCAAAATATTGGCTCAACATTTGCAGAATAGTCATGGGAAGAGAATCGTAGGAAGAAATAGGGAATTTAAAATAGATACATTGACAACTTCTGTTGAAAATATCAAATCATTGCAAAGTTACCGTCCTGTGTGACGCCATGACTGACGCAAAATCACGCACAACGACAACGGTATTTATCGGAATTTCTGACTATTTCGGTTTGTTTCAATGAAAATTATAACAACAAATAACAGTACATAGATTGTCAGAATGTTTCTGATTACTTACATGTCACATTTATGTAAATACGATCCCTGAATCAACGAAAGTCCCCTCGTAAAATCCCGCGTACTGTTGACAGTGAAAACGCCATTTTGTAAAAGTCGGTCACAGGTAGTGATGTCATACGTCAACATTGTTGTACATATTTGGTAATTTCTTTGAGGTGAAGGTCTTTGAATGAGAGTGCACATGATCACTGTACCATGCTGTTTACAGTTTCAGTTATGATGCAGATTTTGCACATCTTTTATACATTTTTTCACACAATTAGATTCTAATTTCACTTTGGACATTTGTCAATGTTCAAAATGATATCATACGTAAATATCGGCCACAACATGTATGAAGGAACCTTGATAATCTCCGTTAGTTTGAACATTGTTTACATAACAATTGATAGGTTTTTAGTGTCGCATACGATATTTCTTTCCTTTGGACAAGTGTTACAAGAAGTGTAAATGTAACTGCAGCATGTACGCATTTCTTGGGATGTGCAATAGTCAATATTATAAGTTCATATTAGCAATGTCCATGAATAGCCGTTTCATTTTTTTTTGTAACTAAAACTGAATATATTACTTTTACACAAAAAAATCGGTAAAATATATGCACACATTTCTGAAAGAACTGTCTTGGTCTTGGAACTGTTTTTGATGTCGTTTGATACACAGAGCAGTGATATCTAACGATTCGCCAGGTGCGCGTACGTTAGTCACACACATTTTACGAATTATTCCTCTCGTTTTGCATTATATAATCAATGGGTTCATTCTTTTTTCAATATTGTGATCACGGGATATTAAACTGTTTACTTAATTTCTCCAGGAATTTTAAAATGTATAAAATAAAATCCATGCCAGGTACCCCGGGGCCGTTGGTTCAACTATACGATTATCCTGATAATTCTATACCAATATGATAGTGCTTTCTTCGCATCTTTTATTGTGTAATTCTGAGACGAGATGAAGAGAAATACTAACATAATAATGAACAAATATATGTCAAATACTGAATATAATTTTGGTTGTTTTGAAATATTCTTTTGTGTATTTCATAACGTAAATTGATGCCAAACAGGTGCGTGCCCTGTCCAATTAAGATACACGATAAACTATCTAATTGTTTACAGATTCAAGACATTATTGACTTGGTGAAAGCAGTAATTTTATGTTGTGTCGAAAAAGCGTCAAATTCCGTTTTACACATCGAGATTTTCCAAATCATAAACGAAAATTATGGGAGATGTATATTAATATAAATACCAGTCTCGTCTTTCTCAGACGTTATCAAAGACATATAACCAGCCATGACGTCAAAAGGAATGGTGTTATTTTTGGGGTATTTCATTACATTTGATGATAAAGCTAGTGCTCCATTAATAATGGTGCAACATAAGTCAAATTACATTTACACACTCAGGAGAATGTTGGAATATAAGGACTAAGTCATAGGTAAGATAGGGCCATCCATTTCTCTATTACCTCTTTTTTATGAAGTACGATTTCATCATTTCTTGTGGGTTTTATTTATAAGAAACGTATACAGTTTCAATATCGATATTTGTGTTGGAATAGTTTGGTTCCTCGTGAACGAAACACAACGAAAATACATTGTCCTTACCCACAGCTAATTCTCACCAATTGACCTGAGTTACAATAACCTAGTGCTAAGCATAGCGGAGTTATGCCCCCTTTTCTTTGTACGCGTGTAACCTCTCGGTCGCCTTTTGACGTCATAGAGAAAAATCAGTTTTCGTCATTTACGGCATGCTGTTTTTGGCATTGAATGTATGTCGTTACACATACGCATATAACTCCATTTGATATATAGTTATGTCGTTCAGATATGAGGCAGTATTTTGTTCGCTGACAGTTTCCGTAAAGCTTCGAAATAAAAAAAATCGTCGCACAGTACTTTTATCGATGTACGATAAAAAGCGGAGAAATTTATTGTTTTTCAACGCAGAATAAATTCTCGGACAACACTTAGAAGCGTATTTCTTTAAAACCGGTTTAATATTTGCAGTTAACTTAACACCATCAAATAGGAAATTTAATATTCTCCACCTCTGCGTAATTTTATAGCCAGAGGTAGATCCAGTGCCGCGTAAGCGCAATTCTCGCACAACCTTCACTTTTCCGATCTTAGGAAAATGTGCGTCAGAAAAAAAACTCGGCATCCAGAGGGTTAACCGATTTTTGACGGCTACATCAACCAGAAATGAACTGTTTAGGGGTAGACTGAGTGCGCAAACTGTTCGAAACCGCCTGAGAACTGCTCACCTTCAAGCACGACGGCCATACTGCGGGCCGATTCTGACTCAATTACACAAACGCCAACGTCAATTGTGGGAACAGCAACACTTACGATGGACTCAAAGGAATTGGAATCAAGTCGTCTTCAGTGATGAATCCCGATTTAATCTTCGATTTGCTGATGGTAGGGCGAGGGTGTGGAGGCGCCGTCATGAACGTTACGCCCAGTGTTGTGTACAGGACGTTGACAGATTTCGAGGCGGAAGTGTCATGGTGTGGGGTACTTTCTGTGGCAATGCACGTTCCAGGCTTCTTGTCATCCGTGGCAACCTCAACGCTGCTGCTTACCGCGACCAGGTACTGGCACACGAACTTCTGCCTTTTATGGCAGCACATGGACCCGTTGCAATTTGGACAAGGAATTTCCTTCAGAATGCGGGAGTCAACGTCATGGACTGGCCGTCAAGGTCTCCCGACCTCAATCCCATCGAACACGTCTGGGATGCTCTTTGCAGAAGTCTGCGCACTCTCCAGAACCAACCATAGAATTTGCAAGATCTTGGCACCATTTTGCAGCAACAATGGCGTCGTCTCATGTGTTCACAAACACCACAAGGTCCATGCGGAGGCGTTGTGTGGCAGTTGTCAACGCACATGGTGGCCATAAACGCTACTGAACTTGTGTGCCATCAGATTCTCGTGCTTGGGACTTATGATTTAAACCGTTGATGTTATTACCGAATACTGTAGGTGCTTTGAACAAATTATGGTTACCACCGTTAATTAAAATCCTACTTTGGACATTAATGATTAAAAATTACCTTCTCTGATACATTTGTCCGTTGTATATCATATATGGGATTACTTTTAAAAATGTGAAGTTTTTAATTTGACTCAGTATATTATAGACCTCAAAGGTAAATGGTAAAATAGCGTTTGTGTTCCGTTCATATAAAACACTAATACATAGATTCTATGGTGTCATTTGCACCTTTGAAAAACAGGTGCTGTTATTTTTATTCAACCCTGAAGCGATTTGGTGCCGTTTTGATGCAGTGCTGTTTTAGCCTAATGTCTGGATAATATAGATCCGGTACGTTCTTGTGCCATATAAATTTATGAAATATTTGAATGTGTCACCTTGTTTACGTGATCTAATCATATTATAAATGTTTGAAACATAGAGTAACGTGGATGAATACATAATGTCAAATTTCTTGTATATATAGGGGTCTATATATTCATTGTCGTATTTCCTACGGGGCCGTTTTCGCTAATGATGACTTGGTACATTTTCGCCAACGAGATATGGGGCCGTTTTGGAATGGGGCCGGTTTAGCCAGCACCCGGCATTTGAACGCCACAGCGAAAAATGTCATTGGTTTTATTCTTCCCAAACAATGAGTGGTATTCAGTTAGCAGATCAGAGAATAAACATCACGGTAGTGTTGAAAGTAAACTGCAGTCTCATCACACGTGCGCTTTGTAAGATTACATGAAATTCGAGTGTCTGCATCAAAAGTAAAGTAATTTGTGTCGTTCATGAAAAGTATATAGGGCTATTATTCACCATTGGTGACTTGTGACTGTGCAAGTGTCAAAACAAAGAAAATGTCAAACACGACTGTTTGTAATGACACATCCGAGGCAGTTGAACTTCATGAACCGATGAAGATTTATCTAAAACCTATAGCTAAACTCAATGTGTGCGTCCAACTTCCACAGTTAAAGACACCGGGGAAGAGTATATCAAACTGGGAGGTAATGGAAAAGGTAAAGCATATGATCAGACCAGAAATATTTATCACATTAAAAATTGTTAAAAGCTCTTTGGAGTTCATTCGCTTAGAGGGTGAAATTGAAAACAAAGGAAAAATAAAGTTGTTGATTGCAAAACTTGATGGAAAAGCCATCAAGCTAAGTGGATTTCCTGATAGCTTAAAAGTAAGAGCTGCAGAAGCAAAGATAAGTTTTCCTCTAAGACATGATTGGGATTCATATTTCCGTGATGCGAAAAATATGAATGAGATGAAAAGTGGGGAAAGACCAGATACCATTCATTTCAAAGATTTGCCAACGAGGTGGTTTGCTTCAAGAAAGGATTCAAAGAAAGACAAGCCTTGTGAGCAGGTGCTAAGGAGGGTATTTGAAGTGTTTGGAGAGGTTCGATGTGTGGATATTCCAATGTTAGACCCATACAGAAAGGAAATTATTGCAGCCACAAAGCCAGGGTCCATACAGACATTCTGTTATGGTCAAGATCTCACATTTGATGCTTATGTTCAGTTCAAGGAGTACATTAGTTTTGTCAAGGCTATGGATGCGTTGCGAGGTATGAAGCTGATGAACAAGGATGAAGAAGGCAAGGCACTCACTGCAAATATCAAAGTAAGTATGTGAATCTGGTCATTATTCAGACAAAGTGCACTTCACTGCATGCAGCTGATGCAAGTTAAATGCTCACAACCAAAAACCTTAAAACCAAATTATGTCATACTACATGAAATTGTGTACTTGCACCCGTCAAGGTATAAAATAGTAATATAAAAAATTATAAGAATTGACCATGTTGACTTTCACTTTGTGCAAGTTCAATGGCATATGAACCTTCAGAGAGTCAGGGCCAAACATTGTATGAACAAGCTCATCACAAGCTCTGATGTCCATACAATGTTTAGCCCTCACTCTATGAAGGTTCATACTCTAATGAACTTGCACAAAGCGAAAGTCAATTGTCATAATTTTTGTATAACTTTTATACCTCGAGTGGTGCAAGTACGCAATTTCACGTAGGATGTGTGACTTCATGTTTACACTGGCAGCCAGACAGCAACCAACTGTAATGCGGAATAAGATAGTTCATCAAAAAGAGGTGTTACATGGGCGTATGTATGTTCAACTTGCTCCACATGAACATCTTTTGTACTCGTAGTTTGGTTACAATAAATAGATCCACATAATATTATCATTAGATGAAAAGGTCTTTTAGAACTACCTCAGAAAGACAGTCACAGTGACCACGAGTCGTAATACATTTACATGAAATATGAGACGTCAAAATGGCTGACACGATAAATGTGACGGGAGAGATTTCCGAAGTTGTTCATGAATAATTACAAGTGTTCATCAGCTTTGATCAATTCGCCGATCATTAAAAGGTGATTTTAAAGATGTGTCAAATAGAAACTAAATGCAAATTTATGATAGATTGCTGCAGACTGTCACTTGTCAATCTAGACACGGATCAAGTTGTTACTACTACTATGCTCAGAAATGACGCTTCTGTATGTTTTCGTGCTGGTGATTTTCAAGGGTTTTCTCCAGGAACGTGGAAGTAGTCCATCAGTGTTTACTAGGGCTGCAACAAATACACTGTGAGGCGAATACGATTCATATCACGAATATAGGGTAACGAATACGAATATTAATTCACAATTACAATAACAAGTCAGCAGTTTATGTAGTATTTATTATATTCAGTGAAACAATAACATCATAATTTATTTAACATGGCTTGTTAATTATTAATAAATTATACATTTATATACTGCACTTATCCAGGTACTAGTATCTGCTCAAATGCGACAATGACCAGTGCCAACAATACTATCAAATTAAATATTATTAGAGTGTTGTCAGTGAAAGAAATCTATGCATATAATATGTTGTTATGGATATTTTAGGTACAGGGTATCTAAATATACATGACAGCATATTCATAAATATTCAATTCTAGTGGCCATGAATAACGAATTCAATTCATGGATGGTTACGGTTTGATTCACCGAATACGAGAGTGAATCGTAACAGCCCTAGTGTTTACGTCATTTCAAGAATACAGTGTCGGGGAAAAACGTATGAATGTCAAATTGTGTGTTCATACACTTATGAAGGTCAATTTTGCAGTCATGTGACCGTCCGCTCATCCAATGGAAAAGCTGTATATTGTGTAAACTTCACATTTAGATATTATTAGGAGATAAACATGCTGTATTTTCAATGTACAGCTAAGCCTATGTTACCTGTAGATATGACAATAAATTAATTTTGAATGTGGAGTAAAGGTAAACACCGACAAATCTGCAGATGACATTGCGTAAACTACAATAGAAACGCAAAGCCAGATTTCTGTGAGGTAGGAAAATACATTTATACAAGGAACCGTACAATGTATTGAGCCAAAATGTTGTGGAGAGAATACTTGGTAATTGTTGTCACCTCAGTTATCGGCACATAGGAAAAGTCCAAGGTGAAGGTCAGCTACCATCAATGACGCGTATGTCCCTTGTTGGAATCGATAGCGCCCTGACATCTCCTGCCCATGGAAGAGACGAGTATGTGAATCACATCCTGGGGAATGGTAGCCCACTCGGCATGCAATGCAAAAGCCAACTGGGGTTGTGGTTGACGTTGGCGTAGTTGTCAATCCAATTCATCACACAGGTGCTCTATCGGGTGATCCGTGCTGTATGCGGTCGAGCGTTGTCCTGCTTGAATACAACGTTGCCATTGGCTGCAATTGGCAGGACATGTGGTAGGAGAATTTTGTTGATGTATTGTTGAGCCGTAAGATTTCCCTGGATATGGACCAAACCTGTCCTACCATGATGAGAGATAGCCGCCCACATCATAACGGTTCCCTCACCAAACACGTCCACTTCCTGTACACAGTTTCCAGTGTAACGTTCTTCCCCAAGTCCATAGATCCGTGCTCTTCCATCCCCTCGATGGAGGAGAAATCTTGATTTGTTGCTGAACCAGACATCTCTCCATCGCAGTTGAGGCCATACCCCGTGTTGACGACACCAATGCAGCCGTTGTTGACAATGTTGTCGACTCAATATGACATGTCGAACAGGACGTCTTTCTCGTAGACCTACTGCTCTTAAACGGTTTCGTACAGTCTGGTCAGAGATCCTGGGCAGTCTGGGTATTTGGGATGCGGTTGAGGTGGCTGTGGTCGTCCTTTCACGCATTTGGGTGTAGCGATTTTGGGTGGGGGTGGTTAATCTTTGTCGTCCCGACCTTGGCCGATCACGTGTTGACCCATGCTGTTGAAGGTTTCCTTCAGATGGTCCAGTTCACTGCTGAGGGCATCAGGATAGCAAATGGATTTAACATGTCGGGTGAGGGTGGTGATGATGGCTTGTTTTATCTGGGGATGGTGGCAGGAGTTGTAGTGGATGTACTGGTCTGTGTGTGGGGGCTTGCGGTACACTGATGTTCTTAGTCCATCATCTGTGGTTTGGAGGGACATGCAGTGTTCCCAAAAGCTTTTGAAACTGCCAGTCCTGGTGCACTGGCAACTCTAAAAATTACCAGTCCCCACTATTTTTTGTCAGTCCCAACTTTCAACAAATAAAAATGTATGAAAATTTTAATTCTTTCAACATCATGTTAAGTGCAATGAGTCATCTCTGAAATAACTTAGATCAATGTGTCATTCACACAAACTTCAGTCACAATTTTCTCTCTCATTTTTTAATATTTCGAGACAAAGTCACTACAAATAGATATTTAACCTTGAAGCAAAGTGTAATGTTATTTCCTTGCACTAAAAAAAGACAAGGGGATGACCTGATGGTAACATACAAGCTGACTTCTTATATATTTCTATGAATATCACTGATGTTTTGTTCAACAACAAAGATTTATAAGGATCTTTGTTTGCTGGTCCAGAGGGACTGGCAGTCACCTGAATTACCAGTCCAAGCCTAAATTTACCGGTAAAAAACTGGTAATTACCGGTAAATGGGAACACTGACATGTCTAGGAAAGGAAGGTACCCTACATGCCAAATCCATTTGCCACCCTGATGCCTTCAGCAGTGAACTGGACCATCTCAAGGAAACCTTCACCTCCCTCAACAGCTATCCTGTCCACCTAGTCTCCAAAACCATCCGCAAGACCCTCAAGAACTCAAACCCCAGGCCCAAACCAGCTCCATCGCCCATCAGAATCACCATACCCTACCAAGGCCCTGTCACTCTTCAGATTTCCCGCCTCATCAAGAACAAAGCCAACATAGATGTCACCTTCTCTAGCGGCAAGTCCATCAAGATCCATCTACAAGCCAATGGCAGAGGCACAAGCAGCGCAAGTCCCAACCCCCGAGGATGTATATACCAGATACCCTGCAACTGTGGCCACCAGTACATTAGAGAAACCCTTAGACCCCTCAACACCAGACTCAATGAACATCCGACCCCTGTTAAGAGACTTGACCTGAAATCCTCTATTTCCAAACACATCCTGAAGAACGAAAACCATAAGCCACCAAAGTCCTGTCTACCAACAATAACTGGCAACAAAGAAAACTACAAGAAGCCATTGACATCAGGAGACCCCAGCCAGCCATGAACCGTGACCAGGGAACCTATCTGCCTAGTGCTTGGGAATTATTGCTTTGATCTTTGTCGGGGCTAATTATCTAGCTGGCTTCAATTTGCCCTTTGCTATGTCCATTCTTTCACCTATGTATGTATATCTATACTTCCAATATGTAATTTGCCTTGAGTTATGGGCCAATCTGGGAGAAAAAATAATTTTTTAGTTTTTCTGCTTGAGTATATGAGCCGAGTATCCTTGGTGCTGCAAATCAGAAATCCACTTGTTCACAGCATTGTCTTGATGACACTCCATGGTGGGTGGGGCGCTCATATGATACACACCAACACCAACACCATTAAGATCAGATCACACCCTAGTTTTCAGGACATTCATTGTTTTCACATACAAGTGCATGTTAAATAAAATGATATATACATTCAAATTTCTTCAACAGATGCAATCTTTCAAAAAGATCTTTCTTTCCAGCACACGGCACAATCTGGTATGTTGTCAGGTTGGTCTCGGCCTTGACAGCAACAGGTCTTTCCTTACTCTGTGCACTGAACTTATATTGCTGGTTCCTGGAATATTCCCTGGATGATATAACCAGACCTTCTCCCCCTTTTTATGAGAAACAAATTGTGTAGTGTCACCATGGGTCTCACTTTGTTTGGCCTGCTCATCCACTATCTTCTTTCTCACTTGTTTCTGAATTTCCAACATATCTAAAAGTCCAGTTGAAGGGTCCACTCTTTCACTGGAACCAACATCTAAATCAATCCATAATGTCACGAGCAGAATCCTTGAACACCACTTTTAATGGTGTTTCAGTCACTTTGTTTGGAGTTGTTCAAATGACCTTCAGTACAGCTGTAAGGATCAGTAGCTGGCCCTTTGCTTCAAATGAGTACAGCAAGTCTTTCTGCTGGTGTGATTCATTCTCTCCACCTGGCCATTACAGTGTAAATTTCTATTAAATGTATTTTAACAAAGGGCGGAAGAGTTGTCCCCCTTAGTCCATAATGTTTCATATTGAGATTAAAGTACTGTCGGAAATGCTAGAAAACTGTTTTTTGCCTGTTAAAAAACGATATAATTTTTCACAGACTGTTGTTATTGAAATATCGAGTACTACTGATCGACCTACCTGTGGTTTGAGTCCCCTGAAGATCCGGGGTAGAATAGGTCTTCAGCAACCCATGCTTGCCGTAAAGGGGACTATGCTTGTTGTAAAAGGCGACTAACTGGATCAGGTGGTCAGGCTAGCTGACTTGGTTGATGCATGTCATCGATCCCAATTGTGTGGATCGATGCTCATGATATCAGTCACTGGATTGTCTGGTCCAGACTTGATTATTTACAGACCACCGTCAAATAGCTGGAATTTTGCTGAGTGCGGTGTTAAACAATAAAACAAAAACCTGTGGTTTGAAGTATTTCAGTCACAAGGAGTCCTATCAACAAGTTTACAGGAGACAAATACAAAAGAAAACAGGAAGTTTACATTTATTCTAAGTCCAATGGTGGCAGTCTGAAATGGACTATAGAAGTATGAGCATGTGACTCCGTTATATTGATAATAATGTAGTCTTCATTAAACATCTAATCCACACACAAAAATCATTTTGAGAAAATTCTAGATGTACATCTTCTAAAATGACAAAATGACGCTGCGTTTGTTTTGTTAACATTGCTTCCATGATGCATGTTACATTAAACTTGCAAAGCCATAACCATGGTACACGATTTGGAGTCTGTGCTGGGAAATGTATACAAGTTCTTTACGCTTTAGTGAGATAGAGGGAAAACATTTATTAATTTGCCCAAGCTATTGGGTTTTCAATTCATACCATCAAGTCTACGGTATGATAAATAAAACAAAACAGGTATAGGGGTGGTCCCAAAAATAAAACTAGGACATAAAAGGATATTCGACAGCTTTCATACAGGGTGATTAGGCGTATAAGTGTACAAGCTTTATGAGCAGAAGGTTACCCTGACTTGTAGTAGAATTTGGGAGGAATTAAAGGTACAGTTAATGTTAACTGCACTAACTATTGCACTCCAAGAGATGGCATTTCGATACGCTGGGCGTGGCAATGACCAAACACTTTTCAGGGGAAAATATTCCATTCTGTCTATGAGGTCACACTATCTCCGAACCATTCATAACTGTCACAGTCAGGGCGTCCAGATAATTTACTTTGATGAATCATTCCACTGACTACATGTGGCTATCGGCAGATGGACAAAAAGCACCCATGGTATCATCAAGTAAAGGTAATAGTGTCATTGATATTGTTTTGAATGCTACAACCCATGATATGGGGCTTATTGATGGATGTGTGCTAGTTTTTGAGGTGAAAAAGAAAACTGGTGATTTTCATGAGGAAATTATAGGAGGAGATGTGTTCATAGACTGGTTGGAACATCAGCTGTTGCCTATTTTAAACAAGATCAGTGTCATTGTCATGGATAATGCCAGTTGACGTCCGGGGATCAGATACTGTCGTCCAAATCATGAGTGGTCTGAAGGCGGCCTTACAGAAATATATGACATTGTCGACTTCAGACCATATGAAACGAAAGTTCAAGTCATGGAGAAAATTTGGCTGAATAAGAACCCTGTAAAGTACAGGACATATGTGCTGGTGGCACAACAGGGTCACATTGTCTTCTGTACGCCAGTCAGACATTGTGAGCTCAACCCTGTTGTGCCCATCTTGGATAAGTGTAAAGGGTTCGTGGCAAGACAGAACACAACATTCAAAAGTACAGGTTCATATACATCATCAGGGGAGATAAATGTTACCTCTAGAAATCATCTGTAGAACAACAAATACTTCTGGATTCCAAAACCGCAACCTTCCAATACTCATCCCGTTTCATAGCTCTTAACTATTCCACCATGTTTCCAAGCAAATATAATGCAGTACATATCCTAAATTGCTACTCCATCAACGCACATGTCAATTAAGTACAGTAACAGTTATATTTTGAGACCACCCCCAACTCGGTGACATTTGCACCTGGGAGAATGCACGGACGGTGTGAGGTCATCACCTCAGGACAGGTGTTAAGTAATTACCTCAGGTTATAAGTTGATCATCATTTTACCTGTAAAAGAACATTTTAATGGTAATCACAGTGTCAGTTAGGACAGGCTAGATAAGGGCAACTTGAGTATTTACATATATGCTCTTTTTATAGTCCCATGACTCGTATTTATTAAATGAAGCAAGAAAAGCAGTTTTCTAGCATTTCTTACAGTACTTTAGTTTGATTTAGTTACGCATGACCAGAAGGAGGCATTTTCTTTGTTTTACAAGTAACATGGCCACAGCCAATTATGCAAATTAGTGATAACAAGATCCCACCCTCATAACACAGGAATTTGTGATGTAGTGTTCTAAATAAAGCTTAGAGGTATTGAGTGTGTTTAAAGATTGTTGTTGTGTTGACAAGTAAGAGTTAGTTGGACACAACTTTGAAGTTTATTTTCTTGCACTTGGTGAAAGTAGACATAGATATTAGGTTGCATTTTTCAATAATAGGTTGTACTGGTGCATGTTTGTATAGATAAATCAAGCTATGTAAAGTGTCTGAAGACACCTTTTTCAGATTACATATGTATTTTTGTTTTATAGGTTGATTTTGATAAGACAAAGCATCTATCTGACAAAGCAATTCGGAAACGTCGTCTTGAGCGTGAAAAATTAGAAGAACTGGAGAAGATTCGATTGATGAAAAGTAAACAGGAAAAAGAAGAAAACGAAAGAAAGGAAGAAGAAGAGAGGTAAATTTGATCAGATCATCCTTAGCTTATAATTTTGTTGGTTAACCTATATCTACAGTTTCTGATTTAGTTAAGTAGTATAGGTAATGGTGATTCTGGCTCACTTCAACCGGCGCCAGATTTATATACCTACATGTATACTGCTACTACAGGGGGAATTTTTTGATGATGCGATTCAACGATTGTCATGAGTCGTGTTATAAGAATCATCAATATTAATTAATAATGGATAAAATTTACTATGGCCCTCGAGGATATTGGAAAGGTATAGGATCAATAAAAAATTAGCCACTGCGGCTAAGGTATCTAAAGATGTAGCCAAGGATGTGGCAAATATACTTACCGGCACCGCGTTATATACTGAGAAAGAAGTTTGATATTTTTACAACGAATGAAGTTCATAAGGCTGACCTCTTGTTTCTTCCCCATGATAAGCTAAGACGCAAAACGTATAAATACGCTTTAACTGTAGTGGATGTGGCTAGTCGCTACAAAGAGGCTGAGCCATTAACCTCCAAAGATTCAACAGAAGTAGCTAATGCACTGAGCCGCAAATATAAACGCGGACCACTAAAATGGCCCAAGTTATTTCAAGTAGATCCTGGTCGCGAGTTTATAGGATCAGTAACTAAACTGTTAACAAAGCACGATGTCGAAATCAGACGTGGTGAAAAAGAAGCCCACAGTAGTCAAGCCATCGTTGAAAGATTTAACCGGACACTAGCGGAACGTTTGTTTGGATATCAGTATGGGATTGAAATGAAATCGGATCGATTAAGATCAACCGAATGGGTGACACGATTATCAGCTGTTGTATCAGCGCTAAATAATGAAGTAACGAGATTAATCGGGAAGAAACCATCAGATGTGATTAAAATGAAATATGGGACTTCCGAATCTTCAGCACTGCGGAGAGGCAAAGAACAAAAACTTCCGGATAGAGTAAGCGTAAGATATTTATACTGCCCGGTGAACTCGAAGGAGGCCTACGTCGCGCAACCGATTTTTGTCGTTTGGTTACGAAAGAAGGAGAGCCTATTCTTTATTATCTTAAAGATCGACCGGGCAGGGCATTTGTACGAGAAGAGTTGCTCATAGTTCCCAACGATACAGTATTACTGCCATAACCATAAGCATAGGTAGTTACACCATCCTTATCAATCCATCTCTTTGTATCTAAAGGGGGATAATGATGTCTTGTTCATTCTTAATCCATATATCCTGTGATTGACACTTCTTAAAGAGTTCATCTTGTGTTTGAATGTTCTACCGTTGAATAATGCTTCTTTATACTGTTCGTGTTTGATATGCTTTTTACCAAATAAAACACCCTTAGCTCTTCTTATCTCTCCATTATCAGACTTCTTTATAGACTACATCTTAGGTCTTAGTCCGACATACTCCGCAATAGGGGTCCCAGCACATTCATCCTTCATCTTACCGAACACCTTTTTATTTACCGCGCTGTGCAGTGGATTATCTTTTGGGTAATTGCTCGTGTCGTACATATCTATTTTTTCTGCCATATCTTTATACACATCCTCGGTTTGTATTTCCATCAACAAAGAATCTGTGTTGGTATATAACACCTCGCACATATCACCGTACTGCTTCTTAAGTTCGTTGTAATAAAAGTCATAGATTAAGTGTTTTGACAAGTCAAGAATACTCATACCAACATACACTGGTCTGTTGAATTTTATATTACTTTTCTGCATATGTAGTGCGGCTAAGTCATTATAAAATATCTTGCTTCTGTTAAAAGCCGGACTGTCTATAAGTTTCCTGCGTCTTTCTTCCTCGCTAGATCTGACTAATTTAACATCAACACGTTTCCTTAGATTCTCCATAGTTTTACCGAATACTGAGTTATCCATGAGCTTATATAGGTTCTTTTCGAAATCGCTGGTAGCCATCTTTCTTAACTCTGTGTTCATTCTTATATAGGGTTCCATCCAAGGGCTTTGATCAAACTTTAGAACTCTGTGTATTTTTTTTAGTTTCATACCTAACGATAGATATAACTGGAGATTTCTGTAGTGAACTATATATTTTGTCTTATCCATCAAATTTGGTATGAGTTTTTCTACGTTAGCTAACCTTGTGTTACCCATCAAGGAGTGTTGATATTCCGGCATCCAATCTTTATTAACCATTAATCTTTCGGGAGCTAGCGGATAACTGTTATGGTCTTTATGCAACAAATTTGGATATTCCAAGTCAACTTCTAGTATGTACCCTTTATTCGCATCGATATCATTCGCATCAATATCATTCACATTGATCCACTCAAAACCACCCGTGGGTAAAGGTTGACTCATAGCCCATCCGTACAAATTGTTGGCGTTGAGATATGATATGTTCGTATCGGGTTTACTCGGATCATATCCTTCTGAAAATTTATTTTAAGCCTTAGAATACCTTTTCGCCGTCATCGATATACCACCTCTTAATCCTTTCTCAATAAACAAGTGCATACTGTAATCGGTGAGTAATTTTAGTTTTCTGAGATCGGGGAAAACATCGTATGGTTAGAAAACTTGAGTTTACTAAAAATGATAGTAAATTTTGGGAGCCATGCTTTACCGCGCTGTAACCGAAGCGCTCAATAATGAGGGAACACTGTACGTAACAACTTGTAATGTGTGTGAAAAGTCGTACGAAAATACGCTATTTGAAGGGGGCGTGGCCTAAATGCAAATGTCCGATTTGGATTTTAAATCTTCCGGACCCCTGTTATAAACTATATATTTTATCCACACCCCAACCCGAACCTCTATTAGTCCAGCGTTCTAAAGTTTCCTGTATCCGTTGAATTGATGTATCTAATGATCAGTTTATAGTATCGTATTCGGTTATAACTTCTTGATTGCTCCGGAAATAAGGTTCGGTATATTCAGAGTTATTTTTACTCAATGACATTTTAACTGTTAGCTGGTATTTTATGCTATGTAAGTCATCTAACTCCTCGTTAATTTTGCTCAATATGATGTGCTTAACATCATTAACATCCATGTTGGAATAATATCCATCTTCCAACCTCTTAGATAATTACCAACGCCGGCTGTTGGTACAAATCTTCACTCATCAACTGATTGATTTTTATCATCTGTTGATTTTAATCCAGTAAATCAATCAATTCAGCTTTTCTCATTTGAGAATAACCTCTCAGCCCACTTTTTTTCGCTTGAGCTTTGAGTTCTCCAATAGTCTGGGGTTTGTTGTATTCCAAACCGAGTAAATCAATCAATTCAGCTTTTCTCATTCGAGAATAACCATGTAGACCACGTTGTTTTGCCAAAGCCTTCAAGTCTCTGACAAAAAACATTGTGGTTTGATGGTATATCTAAATATCTAAATGTATCTAAATGCGTATTCTCCCCAACCTATTCCTCTCGTTGATATAATCTCTCTTCCTTCGCGTAAATAATCTGGTTCCTGACCCTATCAGCACTGTGTTTCTTACATAAACAATAACGACCTTTGACCCCTATCCCACATACAGAACGCGTATATTTTATATTTCCCAGCCTGATGTAATAAGAATGGATACCGTAGTAAATACCCACACAATGTCGGTTGCATTGAATCGGCTTCCCCATGAGTGTAAATCTGCACAGATTCATGGTTATACATCAATCATATCATTTGTCTAAATGCAAATCACATCTCCACTGGTGAGTCATAGTTGTCATCGCTATTTATAGATTAGCTGATACGTAATAGATCATAGCTTATGTGTAGCTAAAAATAGACAACAGTCAGCCAGTCAGCTTGACATAGCTGAACAGCCAGTCAGCTCGACATAGCTGAACAGCCAGTCAGCGCTATTTATAGCTAAGTAGTCAGGGTTATTATTAATGGCTGATACGCAATAGATCATGGCTTATGCGTAGTAATTGTATGACTGAAAATTGCTACTACTCATAACCCAAACACTATAAATGCTATCTCGCGGTCTTTCTGAGCCTCTGACGGTGTATAAAACTGACTTATTGTTGGCCTTGGTATTGGGTCAAGTTTCTTTTCATAAACAAGGAAGTATTCGTGCATGGCAGATTCAACATCCTTAAACGTTTGAATTGAATGCCCCTCTTTATGCAGTTTATCATCAATAAAATCTAATCACAACATCCTATTTCTGGTCCCTTGTGACTGGGCTGCTTCGAGTTGTTCTAATGCTTTATTATGTCTTTTCTGCTCCTCTCCTCTCATATTAGAAAATAAAAAATTACTCCCCGAAAAAGGCTAGAGCATTAACAATAGCTCCATCGACCATCATCGCAATTGATGCCATATTCAAATGTTTTATATGAATATAAAATATTCAAATGTTTAATTACTTCATTATGTCTTCTGGGATAAGTCCTTGTTTGATGAGCATATCTATTGTTGCCATTGCCAATCCAATATTTAGAATCATCATACCGATATCATAACCATTAAAATCTAGCTTGGGTGGTGTGGCTTTAGTAATCATTTTAGCCATACGGGCATAGCCAATGGCCAAGCCGCTGACCACCGCTAAATGATACGTTGTGTTTACCAACATTTTACCGTCTGTAACTGGAGTAGTCATGCTTTTATAACATTACATGAGGCCTTAACTCTAATTGAACTTGTGATGCAATCGCTTGTTGTGATTGTGTAATCGGGTGTGACGTTTTCTCTTCTCCGGTCTTATAAAACCATACCGCTGCTATAGCAACAACTCCTAGTACATAGGGAGCCCAAGTTTTAATCGGACGACTATGTTGTTCAGTATTGTGTATTAGTTTTGCCTTCCTCGCTAGCGCACCCTTCTTACCAGCTGCGACTTTTTGAGGATTCTTAGTCACTGGCTTGTGATGCAATCGCTTGTTGTGGTTGTGCAATCGCTGGTGTTTCGTCGTTCACTTGTTGTGCAATCAGGACTTGTTGTGTTGCGTCTCCACAATCGGTGTCCCTTGAGTCTCCATTATTAGTAAGTGGGCACGTATGTTTAAATTGACAATACAATA